TGAAGACGACTCAGCTCACAGTTAAATTTCATATGCAATTAAAAAGACTAGTGAATTGTTTGTGCTCTCTCAGCTTATACTGATCTCACATGAAACAGGTAAAGTCTTATGAAGTATAACCTCTTCAGATTATAATGATTTTCTATACTTTACAAATTTAGTGAGGACCTTAGAGTGCATTCCATGTGAATTGACAATGAGGAAAAAGCTTTCAAATGGACAGACATTGTTAAATTTAATGTTAGAAAATATGAATTAAACAAAATATTTTTTATGACAAATCACATTAAACTATCACAATTATCAGTCCTTGACTTTTAAATTGCAAAATGCAGTGCTATGGACAGAAAACTTAATAACTAAAATAAATCAGTCAATAGCATTTTACTATTAGCAAAACATAAAGGCATATCTCATAACGTGGCTACAAAATAAGAACAAAAAAGCCAGTGATAAATAGATATGTTTATAGTATTTACAAAATACTGTACATAATAACTTGAAAAAAGCATTGCTTTATACCCAATAGTTTTTCACAAAATCACTCCTGTAAAGTTGAAATAAATGAAATATGACCTTATGCATTTTCAACAATGATATAATGAATATTTGTTTATTCAACAAATTTTTAAATTAAAATTTCTTAAAAAAATGCAAAAATTCTTTCTTTCTTTATTTTTTTTTGCTGTAGTTACTTTGAATATTCAGGCACTTGTCCTAGTATGGTGTTAGTAAATGTACACCATCAGCATAAAATTTTGCACTTTGTAAATGGAGATGTTTTGAAACAGCTTCTTGCATTTCTGCTACAGTTTTCAATCTGTTAGGTGTATTGAGTTCACGGGTTGGATTTAAGATAAAGTGACGTGCAGGAAATCAAACATTATTTAACCCATCTAAAAATTCTCTAATTAGTCTGGAAACAGGGGGACTTAATTCTTGCATTCTTTGAAAATGGGTAAGATCGATTATAACATAATAATCTTAATCTTCGCTATCGTTATTTTTTGCCCGAGCAATGCCAGGCCTATCTGCTAGTAAGAACATATTGTCGATAGTAAAGAAGTATCTCAAAATTTGGCCAAAATGAGTTAAATGTACCTTTAAATATAAGCATGAGACATAACTCTAAGATTGTTTGCATTTTATGGAATGATAAACATTTCTCAAATATCTGATGAAAATATTATAAATTATAAACATTACTCAAGAGAGACCATGAAAACTGTAGGTTTTTAAATGATTCTAAAGACATCTCTAGACTTGTGCCTCTGTTGCAAAATTACCCAGCAATTAGACATTTATGGAGACATGTTGCTTCCAAAATGCTGTGTGTGAGTGAGACCAAAAACTTGCGAGCTTGCTGTTAAAAGTTATTCCAGCTTTTTTGTTTATGTTTTGACCTATTTGCCTATATCAAATAACAATATGATATTTTACACTGATTATAATTTAACATTTTATGCCAATGCTTCTTGGGACTGTTGATATATTTCAAATGAGTGCAAAAGTGGTCAAGGTGCTTCTGAAATATCAATAGTACTATTGAGAATGCTGCTGAAATACAATGAGAGGAAGGTCCATATTGCCAATTTATTTGCTGATGTTGTGGTGGACAAATTTATAATTCCACCATGGAAGGAGCTCTCGTGTACATTGTTTCACAGTTGAAACACTTTCAAGAAGTGTCTTAATTTGTTTTTTACAACTAATCACAGACAATGTGAAGACGACTCAGCTCACAGTTAAATTTCATATGCAATTAAAAAGACTAGTGAATTGTTTGTGCTCTCTCAGCTTATACTGATCTCACATGAAACAGGTAAAGTCTTATGAAGTATAACCTCTTCAGATTATAATGATTTTCTATACTTTACAAATTTAGTGAGGACCTTAGAGTGCATTCCATGTGAATTGACAATGAGGAAAAAGCTTTCAAATGGACAGACATTGTTAAATTTAATGTTAGAAAATATGAATTAAACAAAATATTTTTTATGACAAATCACATTAAACTATCACAATTATCAGTCCTTGACTTTTAAATTGCAAAATGCAGTGCTATGGACAGAAAACTTAATAACTAAAATAAATCAGTCAATAGCATTTTACTATTAGCAAAACATAAAGGCATATCTCATAACGTGGCTACAAAATAAGAACAAAAAAGCCAGTGATAAATAGATATGTTTATAGTATTTACAAAATACTGTACATAATAACTTGAAAAAAGCATTGCTTTATACCCAATAGTTTTTCACAAAATCACTCCTGTAAAGTTGAAATAAATGAAATATGACCTTATGCATTTTCAACAATGATATAATGAATATTTGTTTATTCAACAAATTTTTAAATTAAAATTTCTTAAAAAAATGCAAAAATTCTTTCTTTCTTTATTTTTTTTTGCTGTAGTTACTTTGAATATTCAGGCACTTGTCCTAGTATGGTGTTAGTAAATGTACACCATCAGCATAAAATTTTGCACTTTGTAAATGGAGATGTTTTGAAACAGCTTCTTGCATTTCTGCTACAGTTTTCAATCTGTGATCATCATGAAGCTTCTTAAGTAGACAGTAAATAAATATTTTCACAATTTGAAAATCAAGACAATACGAACAATGTTGAAGTCCTCTTTCATTCCATTCAGTGACTAAACAGTAGACAACTTGAAGCAAAAAACTTCATAAAAACGACCAATAAACACAATTAAAAAAAATTACACAAAAAAATGATCTCAACACTTTCATTGTAGGATTTGATGTCTACAAAACACTAAAGAGATGTTAAAATTTTCTTCACAACAGTTTCCACATCATACAATTACTTATTAATCGTACTTATTGACTGAAAGTCCTCTGGTGGATTTTAGTCACTGAATGAAATCAAAGAGGATTTAAAGAACTTGAACATTGTTCATATTGTCTTGATTTTCAAATTGTAAAAATAGTTTTTCAAATGTAAACATAATCCTGGGCTCATGTATGATTAGGTAGAGAATGTTACACTAGAGTTATATGATGACGTGTTCAAGACATTCTCATACTAACTGCTACAACAAGCATGCAATTTGTTGAGCTGTTTGAGTTCTCATATTGTCATGCAAATACATAATGTTTGAAAAGAAATCTGATTATCTTTTGTATATGATTCCCATAGTTTCGCACAATAATTCTCAGCATTGATTGTTGTCTCTTGTTCCATATTTTCCTATCTTTCTGTGATTAGTTCATGTTAAGAATCTTAGAATATTATAATTTTGTAACAACAATATGCAGATATACCTCAACTTATTGTGAAATCCGCGAATTTTACATAGTTGTCGGGAAAAAAATTGTAAACATCTTTGTTAGAAAAAAAAAACAGAGATAGAAATTAGATCGGAGGTCTCTGATTGTAATAACAAGTCAGTGGGAAAGTTGACACTTAGCTGTCAAGAATGCACCGTCATCATCAACAAAAGTCGATCATGTGTTAATTTCCCACGACAATGATATAAAAGGTGCGAGCCACCAGAAGCTCAGGAGTTCACACATGGAAGTTATATTTGGTCATAGTGATTCCTTGTCTCCCGCAACGGTAGAAAACATTGACAAAGCCCAACGCTTCCACAAAGAACTTTTATCACTGCATATAGGATTCCTCCAACTTTAGAAGTAATTTTTGAGCAGAATAGGAACTCTCTTGGAATGGAAGTAGGCATAGCTTTCATAGCATAGACAAGCAGTTGTCGATCATATTTACTTTGAAATCTTATGTTAATTGCATTTAACCTTAGTACTCCTGTATTTTAGTGTTAGCTGTATAATAAATGCTTTACTATTTTATTAAACCTGTCTCCTGTCATTGAAAGGATGCCTGCCGACTTTCTCACCTCCCTCACCACTTGATAGAAAGCCATCTGAACGACAAAGTGGGCAAGTTTTATCAATTTGACGTGTAAGTGGCAATTAGGGAATTGACTCTGTGCCCTTATAGTCTCACATTATGATCCCTCATTAATGATTACATTTGAAGTTATACTAATTGTCCCATAAAGCAATCATAGTAATTGTATCAGTAAACACAAAGTTCATATGACTGAAACACAATAAAGTTACTACACTGCCAGCTGTATTCTCTACACTTTATAATAGCTAAAATAAATGGCTTTATTAAAGTAACATTCTGTTTTGTTATTATTGACTTTGATTACTTTTTATAATTACCTTAGCATAAAACTGTCTCACATTACAATACTTTGTAATAATCCTATAACCTCTTACCATCTGGCATTGTGTTTTCATTTGCATATGTAAGGTTCTCTTTATTACTGAATTCAAATTCCTGATTTTTCCAGGTTTTTTCTGACTTTTCCAACAGATTTTTCACTAAACTTTTACTATTTTAGTATGATAAATCAACAAATCACAAAGCTATATATTAGATGGGAAACAAATCATGCCACATAAAATTTAACTCCTGAAAAGATATCTTTAATATTTCAAATGCTATTTTGAATTATAATAACTCTTACTCTTGCTTTTAAACCTAAAACTTTTATGACCCCCCCAAAAAAATTCATGTTTTACATCCAACTTATATCCATATTTCATATGGATATAAGTTTTTCTGTTTTAATTCAATTTATTATAAGATTTGTCTGTATTCATTTATTTCAAATTTCTTACTTTCAAAAGTTTACATACATTTTATATTTATAATTATCAAAGAATTTTGTTAATAAGATATTTCCTAACAACATTCTTTTATAATTATATAAACATCTCAAAAACCAGACATATTACGTAACTTCTAATTATTATATGTAACACAATATTGCCCAATTAATTTGACTGATGACTGGATGATTAAAATTTATAATATAAATTAATTATATTTTGTAAATTTTTGTCCACTGGAGATAATTATGATTAATTCTTTTGAAGACAAAGAACCATTGGATGAAAATTTACAAAAAGAATTTTAAAGTATTGTCACCAGGGGCCAGTTTTCCTCATCTACATTTTACCAGCGCTTATTCCGTTGTAGATAAAGACCCAAGAAGGTATGATGGAAAATAGAAGATGTCCGAACATCACCAGTTCCTGTTTTTTAAAAATGTTTATATTTTTAACTTGATATTTTTGTGTTTTTTAAAGGACTGTTTGGTGGCCAGTAGCCTAAAAGAAAAGGTCAGTTGCCAAAAGTGTAATGTCTGGAACACAAAGTTAATAAATGGTGGTTCCTATTTTTTGGAAAGAACTTTGTCTTCAAAAGAATTAATCATAATTATATTTTCTTTCTTAATAAATCTATCAATATTTTTGGTTTCACATTTATTGTTTCTATTAATCTAATTTTCTTTCTTTCCATCAACGAATGACAAGATATAGTCATAAAAAATTAAATTACTAGTAAAATACAATCTTCATTACCTGAATAAATAGTGATTTTGGTGGTTGAAGGTTTTCAAATAAATCGGTTCCTATACCACCACCTATTGTAGACATGTATGTTGCCACAATTCTGCTGTAATTTTGAAACCATTCCATCTATAAAAATTATAAAACATAGAAGTAGTAACCAAATATCTTACTTAGCTCTTTAAATAATAAATCATTCAACACCTGATGCTGAGAAAATGTTTATTAAAGAAACGTTAACGTTTTCGACCTAATAAGATAGGCCATCTTCAGATGATACAAAAATTTGAACGTTTTTAGCTTAACATTTAAACGACAGAACGTTCAAACACTTTTAAATTTAAAAACCAAAATACTGGATAAATTAACAAATAAATAATAAAATAAAAATAACACATGTAAAATAAAAAATAAAATAAATACACAAAAATGCCACTAAGTATAAGGGCAGGTGCGGGCTAAGAATTTTTGTGTTTCAGTTTTTCTTTTATGTAGAACTTCCATGCGGAAGCTAGTCCATCCGCATCCCTGGCGTTAATACAACCATCTTTTAATTTACTTTTATATATTTAGATTTTTTCTTCTTGCATTGCCAATGATGGAGAACGCATAGTCCTGAGGATAGTCGCTTCATTCCATTTAACCACAGAGTCCTCTGCTTGTGCCATACAGGATAATACTGTGTTGCAGTGCCCTTTGTTAATATTGTATTTATGCTCCTTCAGTCTGGTAGCTAAATTCCTTCTTGCAGGCCTGGGAGTGCCATTTCCCCTCTGAAAAAGTGAGAAAAGTGAGTTGAAATACAGAAAAAGTGAGTAAAAAGTGAGTGCAATACAGGTAGCCCTTGGTTTACGCCGGCTCAATTTACACCGATTCACAATAATGCCGCTGTGCAATTTGCTATTTTGCAGTGTAATTCCCCAATTTTCCCTATGCTAGACTGATTTTCATTTCAGTATTGACATATTTACTGAGCGGCGACATTGTACATTCGTTAAAACAAAGATTTTTATTGAATATATTTATTTTTTCTGTTTATTATTATTGGGTATATATACATTTGCATTAAATTAATATTAAAATACTAAACATTTAGGTACCCACGAGTCAAGTTATTAAAGTTAATAGAGAGGTTGAGGCGCACGTATTTAGCCCAAAATGTGTACGGGTAACGGGTGAGCGCCGCCATCTGGCAGTTCTGGACCGTCGATAATGGCNTTGGAAACCTTTTTTTACTTGTATTATGCAATTACATACTTTGCAAAATACATCAGTGTCTAAACGTACAGTTGCCCATAATCCTACTGTACAATCTGCCTTGTCCTTTTGTTTCAACCAATCAGTTCGGAATTTGCACTTTGATTGCGTCATATTGAGTCATATTCAAACCATTACATCTATATTCTAACTTGGAATCCGCTATAAACCAACAGTTTGTCAGTATCATTCTGCTAGAGATTTTTATTGGTCAATCACAATCGAAAGAGTAAACACGTGCTGATCACGTGATCGGTCACTTCTCTGCACATGTTAAAATAGAAGAGAAGAATAAATAAATTACCAATAAAATAAAGCAATACTTAGAAAATTATTTTTTGCATGTTTTATCAATTTTATTTGATCATTTAAATATATATAATTTGTCAAAAATTAACATTAAATGTAAATTATTTAGATCTACACAAACTATATTTACAATTCAATAGTTTAACNAAATACTATGTTCATAGAAAGCTCAGATAGCAATAATATATTAAGCATTTTATGCAGTAATTTATCACTAATTTTATGATAAATCATTCAACACCTGATGCTGAGAAAATGTTTATTAAAGAAACGTTAACGTTTTCGACCTAATAAGATAGGCCATCTTCAGATGATACAAAAATTTGAACGTTTTTAGCTTAACATTTAAACGACAGAACGTTCAAACACTTTTAAATTTAAAAACCAAAATACTGGATAAATTAACAAATAAATAATAAAATAAAAATAACACATGTAAAATAAAAAATAAAATAAATACACAAAAATGCCACTAAGTATAAGGGCAGGTGCGGGCTAAGAATTTTTGTGTTTTAGTTTTTCTTTTATGTAGAACTTCCATGCGGAAGCTAGTCCATCCGCATCCCTGGCGTTAATACAACCATCTTTTAATTTACTTTTATATATTTAGATTTTTTCTTCTTGCATTGCCAATGATGGAGAACGCATAGTCCTGAAGATAGTCGCTTCATTCCATTTAACCACAGAGTCCTCTGCTTGTGCCATACAGGATAAGCCCGGGTTGCAGTGCCTTTTGTTAATATTGTATTTATGCTCCTTCAGTCTGGTAGCTAAATTCCTTCTTGTGACCCCAATATAATCCTTCTTAATTCCTAATTTTCAAACAGAATTTTATATACGCCTGCTTTCTCTTCTTTTTTTAATTATGTCTTTATCATTTCTTAAAATACTGTATATATTAGGCGTTCATTTGAAAATCATTTTTGAGTGTTTTCTGTCCGATACTTGTTTCATGATGTTTCGATTATAAGTGAACTTGGATATTTTAAACTGATTTGCTTGGGTTCTTATTACATTGGGAGGCAATGTAATAAGAACCCAAGCAAATCACTTTAAAATATCCAAGTTCACTTATAATCGAAACATCAAGAACATCATGAAACAAGTATCGGACAGAAAACACTCAAAAATGATTTTCAAATGAACGCCTAATATATACAGTATTTTAAGAAATGATAAAGACATAATTAAAAAAAGAAGAGAAAGCAGGCGTATATAAAATTCTGTTTGAAAATTAGGAATTAAGAAGGATTATATTGGGGTCACAAGAAGGAATTTAGCTACCAGACTGAAGGAGCATAAATACAATATTAACAAAAGGCACTGCAACCCGGGCTTATCCTGTATGGCACAAGCAGAGGACTCTGTGGTTAAATGGAATGAAGCGACTATCTTCAGGACTATGCGTTCTCCATCATTGGCAATGCAAGAAGAAAAAATCTAAATATATAAAAGTAAATTAAAAGATGGTTGTATTAACGCCAGGGATGCAGATGGACTAGCTTCCGCATGGAAGTTCTACATAAAAGAAAAACTAAAACACAAAAATTCTTAGCCCGCACCTGCCCTTATACTTAGTGGCATTTTTGTGTATTTATTTTATTTTTTATTTTACATGTGTTATTTTTATTTTATTATTTATTTGTTAATTTATCCAGTATTTTGGTTTTTAAATTTAAAAGTGTTTGAACGTTCTGTCGTTTAAATGTTAAGCTAAAAATGTTCAAATTTTTGTATCATCTGAAGATGGCCTATCTTATTAGGTCGAAAACGTTAACGTTTCTTTAATAAACATTTTCTCAGCATCAGGTGTTGAATGATTTATCATAAAATTAGTGATAAATTACTGCATAAAATGCTTAATATATTATTGCTATCTGAGCTTTCTATGAACATAGTATTTCTTTTCACATTTTAGAAAATTTACCTCACTTTCTGATAGTGACTGAGATATATCAGATGGTAAAGCACTTCCAAATGCCCAGCGCATGTCACGAATTTGTTCTAGTCGATTATACCTGAACAATTAAATTTTAATTGAAAAAAAATTTTTTAATTAAAAATTTAATTGTAATCTATTTAACATACAAATATGCTAACAAACATCTTTTATTCCTGAGAAGAACTGAATGTCGAAACTGAATGGAAGTGTGAAGTTGAACATCTTCATTTACAGATTCGGCACTAGAAACAGAATTATAAAAACGTGAAAAACTAAATAATATAAATCAAATATTCATGATTGATTAAGTCATTTAAAGATGATAAAATTTTTTCATAATTAAAAATAAATTGTTTATGAAATTTATTAAAGGCAAGGAAAAATTCATAATTTTTTTAATATAATAGAAAAACAAAAATCAACAAATTAAGATTATACAATAAATACACCTTTTGATTTCCACCACTATTTCGTAATAAAAATGTTTTCGAATATCTGAGGAAGACCTATTCATAGGTCTTCCTCAGATAGGACTAACAAACAGAATGCATAAATTGGTTTTTAAAATAAAATCAAACCAATACAGAATTATAAACAAGGAGGTTCTAAAACTTAAACATGTATAATATAAAATTAAAAAGAACATAAAAATTCATACTGTATATTTGTGCAGATAAGACAATAGCTGAATCACAAAAAAAAACACCCAAAATATGGGGTCGTCTTATAGGACAGATTAAAAAAAAAAACAAAATTGAAATTTATATAAATAAAACCATTATAAAGGAAAACAAATCACTCAGCAATGTATTTAAAATTCTGCAAAATCCTCACATTTATCATCTAAGGCAAATAGCTCCTGAAGTAAGTCTTCACTTTCATTGTTGAGAAGCTTGTCATATGGGTCCAACTCTGTACCTAGCGAGTCGATTTCAGCTTCATCATCTGTATCCCATAACAAATTATCCTCAGTGCCATCCGTGGCATTAGAAATTCCATACTTTTTGAAGGATTTGATCACTGTTTTCCATGATTTGATCAAGAAATCACACAGCACATCAAGTGACACAGCCCGCAAAGCTGCACCTTTTGTATATGACTTTTTACCACTCATCATCCAGTTATTCCATTGTTCACGCATATGATCTTTATTAGATAATGGAAAGTTGTATTTTTGCCTCATACCAATAATAAACTTGAAAACTCGTGACTTTATGGTCAAGATCTTGTGGTAATTTCTGCACAATTTTTGTTTTCTGTTGTATTACCAGATTTTTTCCGTTCATGAAATGATCGCATCAACCTACTGTTGCTTTAAATTCTTTGCCTTGTTCTGGATTGGCCCGTGCCCACTTCAATGTATAAGCCCTAATCATGTTTCTTGTAACAACGTAACAATTCTGTCTCTGTTCTTGTACCCATTATGCAATGTTATTTTCTAAATCTGGTCAGCAAGCTAGTCCTGAATGCCCAAATCAGTGTGAATGTTTTCAACAATCGCAAGGCAGTGCTGTCAGATGCAAGAAAATAAAATTTGAAGTTCTTTCAAAAAATTACGAATAGGACATAATTCTGTATACACTATAGTGTTATTATCCAGATGATGATTGCTGATCTAAATTCATAGGCCATTGATAGTTTGGGGGATTGTCTTATAGGACAGATGAATGCTAAAAGTATAAAACTTTGATGAAAATTTATACCTTGTCTTATCTGTGCAAATATATGGAAATTAAAATTTAATTTTTAAAATAAACAAAATATAAATAAATAAATAAATACTAAAAATAACAAATAGGCTGTAAGTATCAAAGTTTACATTTTATATATTCTAATCATTAGTCCTAACTGAAGAAGAACCATGAATAGGTCAAAAACATTTTTATTATAATAAAATACCGCTGGAAATTGACAGGCATGTTTTATTATATAATTGTTTTGCATTCCAGTATACCTTGAGAACATTTTGACAACAAATTAAGGTATTTAAAACAAATTATTTCAGCAACTGAAGTATAAATTCTACATGAAACAAAATCAAAACATCGTATAGTCAGTTTTTTGTTTTGAGTAATAAAAATTTAAAAATTATAAGCAAAAATTTAACTATAAAAAAAATAATTTCTTGTTAATAATAAGCCAAATAATCACCATAATGAATATGGCTACTTTATCATTACTGTTAATAATTAAATTCTAAGTAATTTGGTACTAGAGGTAGGCATTACATGCCATCTCTTCATTAAGATGATTGTTTGGATTATTATTAAAAAAACATTGGGCATTGAGATGATTATAGATGCACATATAATTTCTTGTGTTTTATATGTACAAAGTTTTATTAAATTTATTACAATGCATGTTTTTTTGGTCATTATTCATAATGCCCATATTAATCACTTTGTCTATAACATGTACATTTACAATTTCCTTACAAGAAAGATATCCAGTCCAGTATCAGTTTAACTGATTAAATTTTTATATAAAAGAAAAAGAACTCAGAGACCAAAATTTCAAAAAAATAGAACGTTTAGGAAGCAACTGAAAATCAAGGGATTTTAAGGAACTTAGGAATCACTATTAAAAGCCTTGTAAATACTTGAAAAAATAGTCAACAGGAATTAAAAATTAAAGATAAAAAATCTATGCATAATTATTCAATTCTTTAAATACAAAATTAACACATTGAAATATAAAAAATTTATATTTCAATATCTTAATTCATTCTAGTAAATTATAATAATATATTTTAAAAATTATTATTTGAATTTTTACTATGAGAAACTTACACATCCTTTTGGTTTTCCTCAAAGAGTGCTTTCATTTCTTCCATTACTTGTTGCATTACATCCTCCTGAAAATGATTTTATTATTAAAAAAAGTAAAAAACTGTACAAGTTTCTTTTAAATATAAAACAGAAAATTTAAATAAATTAATTAAGAATTAAATAAAATGAATCATCAAATTTGAGAGTTTTATTTATAATTAAAAACTTCGTTATTTACTGTATTTTCTGTTCTAATACAGTTGAATCCTATTATTATGTTATTGGTTATGCAAAGTATTAATGGATTGAAAAGCATTCGATAATCAAATTTTACGAGCTAAAACTGTAGGAACCTGATGAAGAGTCCAGAAGGGGTTCGAAAATGTTTGTTTTTGTGCTTGTTAATCGATTGTACCACACCATAAATTGGTTCAGTGAGTGTGGTAGTGATAAGGTTTTGAGAGCTTGTTTTTCTCTAACGTGTGTCTTAAAGTAATTAATGTCAATACGAAGTCTCTGTATCTCATCTTCCATTCTTCGTGTGTACTCTGCATTGTCCATTTGCTTGTCTGCTAGTTTCTGCTCCGTTGTGACACGCCCGTTAGGTCTTTGTGATGTATTTGCCGTTTTTTTTTTTTTTATATACAGGTAAGCCCCTGTATAACATGGGGGTTGTTTCAAAAAATTGCCAAGTTATGCCAATCCATATTATATGAAACAAAGAACTACAGTAGAGCATCGATTATCTGACTCAATTGGGGACTCAGGTTGGTCAGATAACTGAAAAAATCGGGTAACCGAAAATAANTCATGACTTAAACAAGGAGGTTCTAAAACTTAAACATGTATAATATAAAATTAAAAAGAACATAAAAATTCATACTGTATATTTGTGCAGATAAGACAATAGCTGAATCACAAAAAAAAACACCCAAAATATGGGGTCGTCTTATAGGACAGATTAAAAAAAAAAACAAAATTGAAATTTATATAAATAAAACCATTATAAAGGAAAACAAATCACTCAGCAATGTATTTAAAATTCTGCAAAATCCTCACATTTATCATCTAAGGCAAATAGCTCCTGAAGTAAGTCTTCACTTTCATTGTTGAGAAGCTTGTCATATGGGTCCAATTCTGTACCTAGCGAGTCGATTTCAGCTTCATCATCTGTATCCCATAACAAATTATCCTCAGTGCCATCCGTGGCATTAGAAATTCCATACTTTTTGAAGGATTTGATCACTGTTTTCCATGATTTGATCAAGAAATCACACAGCACATCAAGTGACACAGCCCGCAAAGCTGCACCTTTTGTATATGACTTTTTACCACTCATCATCCAGTTATTCCATTGTTCACGCATATGATCTTTATTAGATAATGGAAAGTTGTATTTTTGCCTCATACCAATAATAAACTTGAAAACTCGTGACTTTATGGTCAAGATCTTGTGGTAATTTCTGCACAATTTTTGTTTTCTGTTGTATTACCAGATTTTTTCCGTTCATGAAATGATCGCATCAACCTACTGTTGCTTTAAATTCTTTGCCTTGTTCTGGATTGGCCCGTGCCCACTTCAATGTATAAGCCCTAATCATGTTTCTTGTAACAACGTAACAATTCTGTCTCTGTTCTTGTACCCATTATGCAATGTTATTTTCTAAATCTGGTCAGCAAGCTAGTCCTGAATGCCCAAATCAGTGTGAATGTTTTCAACAATCGCAAGGCAGTGCTGTCAGATGCAAGAAAATAAAATTTGAAGTTCTTTCAAAAAATTACGAATAGGACATAATTCTGTATACACTATAGTGTTATTATCCAGATGATGATTGCTGATCTAAATTCATAGGCCATTGATAGTTTGGGGGATTGTCTTATAGGACAGATGAATGCTAAAAGTATAAAACTTTGATGAAAATTTATACCTTGTCTTATCTGTGCAAATATATGGAAATTAAAATTTAATTTTTAAAATAAAAAGTGAAATGTAATTTTTTGCAGACAAATTACATTAATATTTTAATTATGAGCTATACATTTACAAAATACATTTTTAAAATTAATTTTCATATTTAACGAATTTGTTATTATTGTTTATTATAACCTAGTGGCGCCATCTGAATCTGTATTTTGAAACTAACTTTCTTAAAACTAAAAGAAATGTTTATTANATCCATTATTGATACTACAACATACTTACATAAAATTTAAAATAAATTATGTAAAAATATAAACAGTGATTAATCCAATCTCTCAGATTAATGCTAAACAATTGCCACATTATATTGGGCTATATTAATACTACTATTAATAATTAAATGTTAACTAATTTGACTTAGAGGTAGGCATTACATGCCATCTCTTCATTAAGATGATTGTTTGGATTATTATTAAAAAAACATTGGGCATTGAGATGATTATAGATGCACATATAATTTCTTGTGTTTTATATGTACAAAGTTTTATTAAATTTATTACAATGCATGTTTTTTTTGGTCATTATTCATAATGCCCATATTAATCACTTTGTCTATAACATGTACATTTACAATTTCCTTACAAGAAAGATATCCAGTCCAGTATCAGTTTAACTGATTAAATTTTTATATAAAAGAAAAAGAACTCAGAGACCAAAATTTCAAAAAAATAGAACGTTTAGGAAGCAACTGAAAATCAAGGGATTTTAAGGAACTTAGGAATCACTATTAAAAGCCTTGTAAATACTTGAAAAAATAGTCAACAGGAATTAAAAATTAAAGATAAAAAATCTATGCATAATTATTCAATTCTTTAAATACAAAATTAACACATTGAAATATAAAAAATTTATATTTCAATATCTTAATTCATTCTAGTAAATTATAATAATATATTTTAAAAATTATTATTTGAATTTTTACTATGAGAAACTTACACATCCTTTTGGTTTTCCTCAAAGAGTGCTTTCATTTCTTCCATTACTTGTTGCATTACATCCTCCTGAAAATGATTTTATTATTAAAAAAAGTAAAAAACTGTACAAGTTTCTTTTAAATATAAAACAGAAAATTTAAATAAATTAATTAAGAATTAAATAAAATGAATCATCAAATTTGAGAGTTTTATTTATAATTAAAAACTTCGTTATTTACTGTATTTTCTGTTCTAATACAGTTGAATCCTATTATTATGTTATTGGTTATGCAAAGTATTAATGGATTGAAAAGCATTCGATAATCAAATTTTACGAGCTAAAACTGTAGGAACCTGATGAAGAGTCCAGAAGGGGTTCGAAAATGTTTGTTTTTGTGCTTGTTAATCGATTGTACCACACCATAAATTGGTTCAGTGAGTGTGGTAGTGATAAGGTTTTGAGAGCTTGTTTTTCTCTAACGTGTGTCTTAAAGTAATTAATGTCAATACGAAGTCTCTGTATCTCATCTTCCATTCTTCGTGTGTACTCTGCATTGTCCATTTGCTTGTCTGCTAGTTTCTGCTCCGTTGTGACACGCCCGTTAGGTCTTTGTGATGTATTTGCCGTTTTTTTTTTTTTTATATACAGGTAAGCCCCTGTATAACATGGGGGTTGTTTCAAAAAATTGCCAAGTTATGCCAATCCATATTATATGAAACAAAGAACTACAGTAGAGCATCGATTATCTGACTCAATTGGGGACTCAGGTTGGTCAGATAACTGAAAAAATCGGGTAACCGAAAATAATGAAAAAAATAATTATTAGTATATCGCTATTAATTAGNGCATGTTTTTTTTGGTCATTATTCATAATGCCCATATTAATCACTTTGTCTATAACATGTACATTTACAATTTCCTTACAAGAAAGATATCCAGTCCAGTATCAGTTTAACTGATTAAATTTTTATATAAAAGAAAAAGAACTCAGAGACCAAAATTTCAAAAAAATAGAACGTTTAGGAAGCAACTGAAAATCAAGGGATTTTAAGGAACTTAGGAATCACTATTAAAAGCCTTGTAAATACTTGAAAAAATAGTCAACAGGAATTAAAAATTAAAGATAAAAAATCTATGCATAATTATTCAATTCTTTAAATACAAAATTAACACATTGAAATATAAAAAATTTATATTTCAATATCTTAATTCATTCTAGTAAATTATAATAATATATTTTAAAAATTATTATTTGAATTTTTACTATGAGAAACTTACACATCCTTTTGGTTTTCCTCAAAGAGTGCTTTCATTTCTTCCATTACTTGTTGCATTACATCCTCCTGAAAATGATTTTATTATTAAAAAAAGTAAAAAACTGTACAAGTTTCTTTTAAATATAAAACAGAAAATTTAAATAAATTAATTAAGAATTAAATAAAATGAATCATCAAATTTGAGAGTTTTATTTATAATTAAAAACTTCGTTATTTACTGTATTTTCTGTTCTAATACAGTTGAATCCTATTATTATGTTATTGGTTATGCAAAGTATTAATGGATTGAAAAGCATTCGATAATCAAATTTTACGAGCTAAAACTGTAGGAACCTGATGAAGAGTCCAGAAGGGGTTCGAAAATGTTTGTTTTTGTGCTTGTTAATCGATTGTACCACACCATAAATTGGTTCAGTGAGTGTGGTAGTGATAAGGTTTTGAGAGCTTGTTTTTCTCTAACGTGTGTCTTAAAGTAATTAATGTCAATACGAAGTCTCTGTATCTCATCTTCCATTCTTCGTGTGTACTCTGCATTGTCCATTTGCTTGTCTGCTAGTTTCTGCTCCGTTGTGACACGCCCGTTAGGTCTTTGTGATGTATTTGCCGTTTTTTTTTTTTTGTATATACAGGTAAGCCCCTGTATAACATGGGGGTTGTTTCAAAAAATTGCCAAGTTATGCCAATCCATATTATATGAAACAAAGAACTACAGTAGAGCATCGATTATCTGACTCAATTGGGGACTCAGGTTGGTCAGATAACTGAAAAAATCGGGTAACCGAAAATAATGAAAAAAATAATTATTAGTATATCGCTATTAATTAGTTAAATGTAATTAGTATATTAGTATATTGTTAACCTTCTTCGCGTTGAATTTTCATCGATGTTAAGCGTAACAAATTTTTAAAAAAATAATAATAATCATCGCTATTGAATTGTTAAAAATTATTTTTAAATTATTTTATTGCTCACGAAACAAACAACCACTCATAATTAGAAAATTAAATCTCGTTTAAATACTGGCCTCCCTTTTATGGTCGAGCTAGTGTTGCCAGCTAAAACATGCAAAAATTTAACAAGAATTATATTAAATTAACCAAGACATAGCCAAATATTGTAACGCCACATCACTAGTGGACATTTGAAATTTGCCGACTAGAACGATCGGTTAACCGAGGTGACGGTTAATTGGGGGTCGGATAATCGATGCTCTACTGTAGTACGAAAAGGGGGGGTTAGGTTCCAAAAATTAAAAAACATGCTATTACAGTAGAGCATCGTTTATCCGAATCAATTGGGGACTGAGGTTGTTCGGATAACTTATTTTTCGGATAACCCAGGGGTGCACAACCTGCGGCCCGTGGGCCACATACGGCCCCCTATCAATGTTTATGCGGCCCGCGGACGGTACAGGCCAAATCCCTTCTTTCCAAGTTTCTACGTGTAGAACTTTTTCCCTATCACAAAGTCATTAGCACCCAACTGTTTTGACTTTCCCTGAGGTGAGAAATGGGGGAGTTGTTCTATAAATAAGTCTATTTCTAGCTAACAATTTCTGGTTTAGATATCGAATATTTTAAGTCTAATACATAGTATTATAACGATTTTTTCAATAATCAAATAGAATAAAATGATGTTAGAAAGTCATTTCCGATGTTATCAGGAAGTTTCTATTTTGGCGGGAAATCTTCNCAGATGACTGGCTTTCGGATAAATGACACTCTACTATATATTTTCATAATTTAAATAAATATCTTTATTAAAATTTCCTTAACTAGTGATACATATTAATATAAATTAAACAATGTTTTCTTCATCATCACTAAGCACTATTAACCGAGGACATTTTCTTTTTGGCAAGATATCCTTATCCTCTGAGCATTTTTCTGCATTATTTTCGGATCCGTGCTCTACCTTTTGCAAAAAAATATGTTATTTTAGATTGCTTGCTTTTAGTTAAAAGTTCTTTATAAATTTCCTTATATGGTGCTAAGCATTTATGAAGAATGAAGCAAGCATGGAATAAGGGAAATACATCTGGCAACACCAAAAGCAGAAGTGTTGAGATATGGCAACACTGAAACAAGTTTCAAGAAAGACCATGTGTATCGACAGAAGGCAGGAAAATACGTATTTACATACGTAAGTACTAATAGTTTACGAAAATTATGCAGGAAAATCTGATAGTACACGTGCTTGATGAAAAATGTCAAATAAGGTATCTTTCGCACTTAAAAGCTTTATCACATTTATTGAACTGTTGTATGGGGATTTCCCTAATTTCAAATTAGATAAAGTTCGCTTTTATAGTTTTTATTACTGTACATTTCATGTTGTATGAGGGTTTTATACAATTCTCAAACCATGTTAGAATGAATCTGTGCTATAGAATTGCTATATGGGGATTACCTAGTAATCAATAGGATGACTATCACGCCAAATTGATGTATAATAATAATAATCTTGTAATCTTGCTTTATTCATTTGTCAAAACCATGTCTTCTTCTTCTTTTGTTTGATTCAATGTCATGACTTGGTGAATTTCTGACACTTGGCAAATAATTTCATCATCAACTTTTAATCCATATAGATATGCGTTTCGGGCTTTCGCCCCTCTTCAGTCTGTTACATAGATAGGTTGTATCTTGTGAACATCTGTCAGGCACCTTCCGCACTACATCTCTCCACTCCCCTTTCCTTCCGACTTGATGGTTCATTTTTTCTTATGCATGTGTCTTAAAATGTAAATGGATGCATAAATCTAATTCCACATTGTACTTCTGGGTAATGCTAAAAGTAGTGAATGTTTTTAAAGATCAAAGTAATAAGATCGTGAAAAAATGTAAACCTTCCTGTCTATTCCAGTAATAAAGTATGGTTTCCCATTAGAAAAAGCTTTTAACCTTAAAATAATCTTGACCTTTGACCCAGACTTTAAGGTCAAGGGTATATCCGATTGTGAAATTTCCCACTCTTTCCATTGCTGAGGTCAAAAATATGTACTCCTATTGAATAAAGGACTTGACCTTCAAATGAGTGAAGGTCAAGGTCACCAACTGATTTTCCCTTTGAAACCTACTTTGTTTTGTATATACACCAATTAAGTTATTTCATTATCTCAATATAAAAAACTCACCCTGTATACTATACAGGTATCCGTCCCTAGATATAGAACTCGCCTTGATGTGGCAGGGGCGCCTAGCAACGACAGGTGGCAGGTTAGAGAATCAATGGCTGAGGCCAAGGTCCTGCCTTGGCCTCAGCCATTGATGAAGTCTTTAGACTTGGTTCCAGAGGTGTCAGAGTATCATGGACCTTGGGTCTGTGTACCAGGCCTTAGTGAAGCTTGTTGTCTGCATACCTATCCATGGCCTCTGGCAGAGTTTCAAATATCTCCCTAAACTGGAACCTATCCCTATTCGAACAGATGGCAATAAGAGATGCAGTTTGGCATTATGGCTTGCAGACACATCAAAACAGAAGGAAGACTGGTACAGCCGTGGTAAGGCAATTGTTCTCTTTGGCCTCGGCAATAAGAGGGCCAAAATACTCCCTCAGTAAGCCCAATGCCGGAAAGCAGCCATTGTAGCTACTATGAATAGGATTCCCAGGGAGATCTTAGAGAAATTGTGGTCATTGTTTTGGACATGTATGTTGGACATTCAAGTATCACCATCTGGCAATTGTAGAAAGTTGAAACTTCTTCGTTTTTTTTGTGTTTGGGGTTAAAATTATGATAAATTTTATTAAAATAATGATTATTTAAGTATTTACAAATAATATTGTAAAGAAACAGATGATTTTAATCCAGAAATTATTTAATTATTCAATTTTTTTGCAAGTGATGTGAAGTGCCTGTAGAATTTGCATATACAGTTGTCCCTCTATAGTCCGACGTTTTTTAATCCGACATGCTCAGTAGTCTGACGCACCTGCCGTCAAGGTACCCGTCCCCGTTACGTGTCTGCTTGCACAGAAGCATGTCGCAATGTGAATCTCCCCGTCCAATTTTTACACGATGACACACATTTCGTGTGTTTTATGTGAGCAGTTCTGTTCGAACAGTTGGAGTAGAGAATATTGTAAGTTACTGCTAGCAAAACAATGCGAAATATGTAATTATTTTCGGTAATCCGCACACTTTTGGTAATCTGACACACCTTTGGTCCCATACCTGTCAGATTATCAAGGGACAACTGTATTTGTACTCATAATAGCTTATCATAATTCTGTAGAAAAAGGGTTTGTTCTTCTACGGCATCTTCTACCATCAACAGAGTAATAGGTTTGTAAATTTTCTAAAAATAATTTTCCAAGCTGCTTTCGTATTTACATAAGCCACTACTTCTCTCAACAAAAGTATGAGATAGTCCTATCGTCCTATCATACTGTAGAAGACACGACTCTAATTAAAAATAATTATTTAACCCTCTGGCTGTCAGCAAGGCTTCGGTAGCGGGAATACAATGCCTAGCCCCACTGGCTTGGGCATGCAGGCCACAGTCCCTAGGCTAGCACAAGAGGTGTGCAAAGTCCAGTCTTTCTCCTACAAAACTGCTTCTCTTTTACTGTATGGAAGGAGTCTTATGTGGGGCTTGTGCTGCCATGCGCTTGGCCAAGAGTGAATACATTCATCCACCAGTAATGCATTCTACCATTGACCTCATGCCACTGAGCAGAACAGGGGCGTCTGCTAAAGTGTGTTTCGAGTTCCAGAGATAAGGATTGTCAGGTCCATGGCCCCCAGTTCTTGTACTGATGTGGTGTTTGAATTCAGGAGATCCAGCATTCCAACATTTCCAGGCCCACAGAGGACACTGGAAACTTCACCCACAAATACAGCAAGCGAGCAGTCATGTTGCTGCCAATGAGAGTGGTGCTCAGTTGACAGCAGGGAGACTTGGGTCAGGCCACTAAAAAGCAACAGTAATTTGTACCATATTTCAATGACACCCCTGTCAAGTGAGGCCTCACAAAGGGCACCCACTTGACGTTTTAACTCCAAGTAAAAGACCTTACGGCACACGTTCACAACATCCCATGACTCAGTGAATGTCGTGCCCTAA